CACAGGACGGATACAGGAACTTTTTCTTTAACATTGTGAGAAAGAACGTTTCTGAGGGAATAATTCATGGATCTGGATGAATAAAATCAGGCAAATTCAGAGGAATGATCAGTGTGAACGAAGTGATTGAATCTAGTTATTTTATATAATGTATAAGAACTAGACAATCGTGTGTGGGGTTGTTCGATCTCCTGCTGAACTGAGTGACATTCTCAAATGTAAACATCTAAAAATATTGTCATGAATCCTGATTTTAAAAAGTATTTATTCTCTACAGCATCATTATTTTAATCTTACCACCTCCCACTACACGAGACCACGGTTTGGTCTTGTTGTTTGTTGCTGAAGAGGTATTGTGTTGGATTTAAATACTGTGTTTGATGGTTAAAAAACCAAACGTCACCTCGTATCGCCAGATCTCGTGCAGTCTCCCTCCCAATCCCTGTGTTGGCTCCGGTGATGAGGACTGTCTTCCCATCCAGACGAGCCGGGGACGTGCACACTCCTCCTGCTGCATAACTTCTGTGGATGCACAGTCACAGATTAATACTGAAATCTCTGCCGTGCACCAGAGCAGCCAGCATCAACCCCGTGTCCTCACTGGAATTGGACATATGGACACATGGCTCAATGATTGACAGAGACACTTGGATGAGGCCACTGCTGAGCGGCCCACGCCACTGAGCAGGGAGGCGCAGCGGCCAATGGGAGGCGCAGGAGCAGAAGTGCTCCCACGCTCAGGCTCCTGATTGGCCCAGCTCAGGTGGAAGACACCCGGTTCATCCCGCTGCAAAAAAACTCCCACAGCTCCATCATTGTTTCTGTTGCATTGATTCTCTGCTCAGGACAATTACATCAGCATCGAGTAGAGGATCTGGAAATAACCTCAGATGTGAAATACGACTCGAATTAGACGCACTGTGCTTTCTGAAAAGCAAAATGCATCCTCAGATGGAACAGCAGTGCCATGATCTGTCCTGTCAACCGAACCACAGTCCGGTGTGAGTGTGTTGCATGAGTGCGATGGTCGCAGCTCACCTGATGTGTGATGCAAACAAAAGCACCAGCAACGTCACCGCTCCGAGTCCAGCGAGGATCAGCAGGAACAACATGATGCAGCGGGAGATCCGCTCGTCTGTGGTTCTGAGGCTGAGAGAGGAGCTCGTAGGAGGAGGAGGAGCTGCAGCTGAGGAGGAACAAACAGCTGATGTCAAAGCAGAAGGAGAGGGGTGGGGGGGCACACACCGCCAGGGGCATCATGGGATTGTAGTTTTTATAGCCTGGGCAGAAAGTCACACACAGGCTGGTTTAATCCTTTCATATGGGGATTCAAACTTTTTATGTTGGCATTGTGCTGTTAACTTATACTGTGGCAACGTATGTTAGTGTTTTATCAAATATTTATGGGCATTCTACTGCTGTGATTGAGGGAATTTCATCGACATGTTCATGTTCGAATTCTCTGTTTTTATTATGTCTTCTCAGATTTTTATGTTTTATTATGTCTTCTAAGTTTTTATTATAATTTTTTTGTCTTTTCATTATGTCATTAATGTACCTGCTGCTATGACAACTTAATTTCCCCCATGTGGCGATCAATAAAGTCATCTATCTACCAATCTATCTATCTACCAATCAATCAATCAATCAATCAATCTATCTATCTATCTACCAACCAATCAATCAATCAATCTATCTATCTATCTATCTATCTATCTATCTATCTATCTATCTATCTATCTATCTATCTATCTATCTATCTATC